AGTTTTGTGTTGCTATGTGTGGTATGTATTCAGTTTTGGGAAATCATGATGTCTAGAAAGCATCAGTGGCTGCAGCTGACAGGGACAGCTAATACTAGCAGCAAAGCTAACATCAGGACGTCATCTGTTAAAAGCCTCCCGTTGTCGGATACGACATGAAACTACTCCAGTTAGCTCAATCATGTTGTAATTAAGACATCTGCTGGAAAACAAATTTTTTTTCACGGGCCATTTAGTGAGTTATTACAGACACCGCTAAGGGCTAACAGCTAACGGCGTCCTTACGTTGCCCCGGTAAATGGTCACACAACGATTACGTCACATCCAGAGCCCGTAAATTTACAAGAACCTTCTCCTACTCCGCTCTCTCAGTGGAGACACAGCGGTTGAGAGGGCCGAGCGAGAGGACGTTCCTGTAGTAGTTCCTGCCTCCCAAATAGTACCAGGAACTTCTTCAGTGGAAACGGGCCTAAAGATCGATTGATTGATCGACTGACTGAATAATTGACAAGAATCTGTTTATAGAGATTAATACATTTCTAATAATAATCATCCTTAGTTCTTGCTCTATCATTTGCAAATCTCAGTCTGCAAAACATTTAGGTTGTAGCGTCTCATTTTTAGTTGCCGCTTGATAAATGACAGGTCATATTAACTGTCGCTAAGTAGCATTAAGTGTGCTGTAACTCTGGATAAGATAGTTGATAGCTGAGTCTCATTCCCTGATTGTCAAGGACTGGTCCAGATCAAGCTGAACGGGAGAGCTATTAACGGACTTGGCAAAGTAAGCATAAGGATACACATGTGACTACATCTTGTTTTGAAAATAAGGTGTTAACAAACGGTTTGTACTGCCAGGGTAGGGAAAAAAGAACTGGAGTTTTTTCATCACATTACAAGGCCAACCCACCAGGAAATTTCTCAAACTTCCTATTGGCCAGTCTGTGCCAGTTAGAGATAACTGGTTAGGGTAAGGTTGGGTTGAGGTTAAGCATCACAAAAACACAACTGGTTGGCTTTAAGGACACATTTGGTCATAGGGTAAGGTAGGAAGCAACTTAAATCAATGAGTAAACAGACTTCAACACAAACCCTGTATCTGCGCTCAGCCAAAGATTATCTCAGAGGTGAAAGTGTCTCTGTAACACCACTGTACAATTGCATGTGTAAGTAGTTCTGACAACTCCAACAGAGTGAGGAGTCTTCTCTACATCCTGTGTTATAACAAGTTCTTAGTGGATTTCTTGTTTTGTAAGGCACATGGACCATTTTGACTTGAAGATAAATTACTTCTGTGACTTGGCTATGACATTACACCAACTGGGTCTAAGGTTGTACATTTATATCTTTTTGTATATCCCAAATGTATAACAGTTACCTTTAGTATGCCTCCATCTGAGAATTAGTCGCCACTTTCTGTGAGAGCTATTTCTGTCTCTGAACCTGGGGTCAGAGCCCTGGTAACCTTATGACACCAGTCTCATTACAAAGAAATATGTATGTAAGGTATTCTTGACAAAATTTATTATGGAGATCTATAAACTTCCTTTTCTAAAATAGATCGACCCATGTCTTAACTCAGCGCCCTTTTTAGGCTGCATACAACCCCATTCATCTGTGTCAGAAAGCATATGGTGACAACCTCCTGCTGACAAAAGGTCAACTCCAGACATGTCATTAAGTCAGCTACTGTCTCTTTACAGCTTAGATCAAATATTCAGGGTATTTAGCTAAGCCCATGGGCCTGAAGTGATTTGTACTGCAGTAACATAGTCATAATTTACCTACTGTGCTGTTTTGCAAAATGAATCTACCCTGTTTAAAATCACAGAGCCCACCAGAGCACAAAACCAGCTGCTGAAGTTGATCTGCCCTCCAAAGATTATGTTACACTAATGTAAGAGCAAATTTAGCTCACTGGGATGATCTGTTATGGGCTGAGAAAATTATTACATAACTCTTAGCAGGAGACAAGGTAAATAATAATAATAAGAATAATCAAAATAGACAGTTTGTGCTAAAAAAAAAAGTTAATAAATAGAACAAATCCACCTTAATGTTATGAACATTTGATACTTATTAAACTACAACTAAACACCACCACAATAAACACAAGACAACACATGGAAATCAGATTTGTTTGAAGGAAAATACGATCAAACTTACTTAAATGATTATTAAAGTATGAATATTGACACAAACAGTGGTTTCTTGCAGTGATCATTCCCCGAGAGACTTAGACAAATACCACATGGCCTGATGAAATTTGGCCAGACTGGATTCATCCAAGAATTATCTCAGGAGAATCACTTTTTATTGGCCAAGTATGTGTACACATACAATAAATTTAATTGTTTTTTGTTTGTTTCTACTGGGGTTTTTTCTCACTGTTTTTACACATAAATAGACATAACAGTTGGGAACAAGGACAAAAAAGCTGGACATGTCTGCCTGACTAAAGGCATGTCAGTACTATTATGTGCACAAGTATGTCAAAGAATTGGTGTTTCTATAAATATTTTCTAAATATAGGCCGTATAAAAGCACCAATAACCACAAAATAAAAAATAAAAATTGTCTATTAGTCTATTTGTCTATTAGTGCAAATAAATAAATACTGAATGGATAGCAGCATGCAGGATTTAAAATGATAGTGACAGATGATACAGTATGTACAGTAAATATGTGAGCACACACACACACACACACACACACACAAACACAAACAATTTTTTAAACTTGCCACAAATGACAATCTGCCAAGTACAGCTGCTCAAGCAGCGATAGGCCAGGTGTGCAGGGGTGAGAAAGTAGGCAGGGTTTAAACTTGTTTCTCAACCTTTATTTTGGCTAAAAGTAGAGCTAGCTCTATAAACTCTAGAGGCTGTCCATTACTTACTGAGTGACTTACTGAGTGACTGTTACACCAGTGGTCGATCAATAAAGCCCTGGTTAAGTGTTGGAGTTTTCCCATTGGCCATTGCTCTTTCAAAAGAATTAGGCATGACAGTGTTTGCAGTTTATTTCCTTCAACTGCAGAGGGCACCAGGCCTTTATTTGAACCAGATGTACATTAGATACGTTAGTACAGCTTCTTTTCTGATTTATTCCCATTTGCTATTTAATTGCTGTTGCAGTATTATGCAAAAGCCCTGTGGAGCAGGAGAGGAGAGAGCAGAAGACATTAAGAAAGGTGAGATAAGCTTCCACTTATTAACTATTGCAAATAGGATCATTCTTTATTTTGAGTAATCCACTGTTTTTGAAATGATTTCTCTTTCGTGTAACTTGGTTCCACAAACAAATACTAACAAAGAAAGTAAATGCTCACAACAGTTAACAGCTTAAAATACAGGCAACTTCAACTTGGAATTTTTCTAAATGTTTACACAAGATTATTATAAAACTCAGGCCAGAAAGTAAAAAAAAAGGAAACTGGTTACGATCCAGTTGGCAAAACTGGCTGCAAGGCAACTCCATATGTGTTCTCATCACACTCAGTATCACTTCCTGCTTCTTCGTTTAGATTCTGTGTGACAGGATCCGCAGGTGATATAGTAACATTGTGCTTTATGTGAAAAATATCCCACCTCTCAGGCAACAGGTCATGATTGAATATGAACAAAGCCAGCGAAGAAAAAACTAAGATGGTTACCAAAGTGCACAACATGGAGATTGTCCTGATAGGAGACTTTTGGATGTAGATGCCATCTTCCAGTGTGCAACCAGGAAGATGAAGAACAACAGGAAGACCTACAGAATTCTCCCCCAGCAAAACCCTTACAGTCAGCCCTACGATGTAACCCACCGTGGCACCGTAACCATTCGTCACTTTAAAGAAGAGCACAGAAACCAGATGGGGGAATATGAGGGTGTAGGCGGTATCTGCTCCGAGAATCCAGAGGACCAGGGGGCTGTTGGTGTAGAACGTCATGGATGTCCCAACCACACCCACCACCACCACTGTGACCCGTATTACCCATTGAATTTCATTGTCTGATGCCTAGAGACATGAAGTCATACAAAAGGAGACAGTTCATTATTAATTCGTAAACCTGTGCTTTCCAAAATAGATGGATTTGGATTTGAAAAGTTTGTACTTAATTAATTAGCAACAGTTGTGCACATAACACTCATTTTCAGAGAAACTCCTTACCTGTTTGCGCAGAATGTTCTTGTAGATATTTGAAGAGAAAACAGAAGTTGCAGACAACAGGCCAGAGTCTGCAGATGACATGACAGCAGCGGCCACAGCTCCGATTCCAATGATTGAAATATAGGATGGAGTTAGGTTCTGTAGGGTCAGGGGCAGGACCAAACTTTGCTCACCACGTACATATGGAGATGGAGAACCATACAGCGTCAGGTTCCAGTCTGGATGAGAGAAACAATAAAAATAAATGATTGTAATTTTTCCTCAACAGAGTAAAAGACCCAAATGGAACTTATGTAGAAACCTGGACTCTACTATGTCCTTAAAAAGGCTGAAAAATGAAGCCAACACAGAAGTGCCAAAAATTGCAGTAAAAGCAAGTAATCCCCATTGACACCCATGTTAAATTACCCAAATTTACATCAGAATTAAACATGTTTACAGCCATTTTTCCTGTTTATGACAACCAGTGTTCATTTTGACAGCTATTTTAGATTTACTCTTAGTCTGCTTGTTTTGCTGCCATTCATTGGCTAACAGCCACTGATGCACCTAACAAACTCCATAAATCCATTCATCAGCTCCACCATCCACAGTCAGACACACATGGCTGATTATTTACTGCTGAATTACAGCTCACTTTCGTACCAATGGCTGACACTGCTTTGGTTTGAGTGTTTTTGCTGGCTAGAAGATAATTACAAGCATGGCCTTTTTCTGATTTCAGTGTCTGATAGGTCATAACATTTTTGTTACGTCTCGTCTCATCAACAAAAATGAAACATATTTTTCGTCTTAGTTTTTATTTTAAAAAATATATTTGTAGCTCGTCATTGTCTCATATTCGTCATGGAGAAAAGGTCATTGATAGAAATTTTTTATCATAGTTTTCATCAAAGAAATTAGAACTGATGACAACTGTACGGGGGATGCATTTTTTACATAACTCACCTGTTTGAATTCCTCTAAGGCTTAAAGTTATGCAAAATTAAAGGCATAGCCACTTTGAGTGATGGGTTGTCTGTGAGGTGTCACCACAGTCTATGAGTTAAATCCACCCCTCCCTCCTTCCCAGCTACCATCTTGTCTAAATATGGTCACTTCGGGTTACTTATGGCTAAAAAAATCCAAGATGGGGACGGTCAAAATGTAAGACTCAAGGCCACTTGAGTCCACAAACCAGTGGATGACACCACAGTGGCTATGTCCATTATTTTTATAGAGTCTATAGCAGTGTCACATTAGCTCTTGGTAACGTACAAAGGCCATATGTAGACTTAGGAAGCCAAATAGCCAGAAAGCTCTGTTTTCTCTTTCATATTACAAGATAACTGACAATCAATAATTTGACCCAACAATACTTCTCCTGTCCACAATGTAAGTGTCTGTATTGAAGGTCTGTCATCTCAAACCTAATTCCCACCTGTAGAGGCGGCGACAGCACCAACTAAGGCAGGGGGGATTCCAAGTATGATGATGACAACAGCAGCAGCATAGCAGGTAATCTGGGCAGTTCGAGATGAGTTGGCAGACAGCGTCCTCTGGTGGAAGCTCTGAAATGAAATACTACCAATACCCTGAAATAAGAGCACAGGGAGGAGAGAAAGATGTATGTTAAGGACAAGAAAAGATGAGGAAGAAGAGTTAAGAATAAAATATACTAATACACAAGTACTGTCCAAAAGCCAGGGCATCACTCACTGTTCCATCACACACAGGGATAGATTGGGGATGAAAAATGGCCCTGGACTTTGTGACTTAGACTGGTCCACCAGTCTCAGTAATGAGTATAAATTTGTACAACATTAAATAAGAGAATTTGTTACAGTATAATGTTAGTATACTTAGTACAATTTTATGTACAATCAAATAACTATATACCACTGGTATAATATGAATTCCAATTGAACAATATGGTTGAGTTTAAGAAATACAGAATTGACTTTTATAACTTTTGTAGGTATTGTTCCTACATTTCATGTAACAATGAGTCCAACATTTCAAGAGTTAGCTGCAGCACTGCAGCTTCTTTTAAATGTTTCGTCTTATACAGGCTGTGATTGGTTGGTTCACACAAAGTGACAGTGATGAGCACTTCGACTTTATGAAAAGTAGAAAGTTTAAACAAAACGGAAGCAACATGGCTAAATAGCCAGTTAGCCAAGTTTATAGTTTCTAATCACCTGAAGATAAGCATCACTGTGTTTTCAGTTCCTTTGGACTATGTCACAATGTACACTTCTGACCTGCCATACATTCCAATCTCTCAGTTCACTCAGTAGATTTCCACTCACCCCGCCTCTCCACCCCACCTACCTGCAAGTCGATCACCTGTCCACACATCTCCTGCTCCTGCCGGCCCACCATACCCGCCTCTTCAAGCCAATTCTACTCACCTGTGGCTCATTACTCTCTGCCCCTATAAAGACTCTAGCTTCACAGACTCTCATTGCCAGATTGTTCTTCGCCACACCCATACAAGACTTTCCAGCTTTTATTCCCATACTACTTCCTCGTTGCAGACCTCGCCTGCCTCTGACTCTCCTACTTTGTCTGCTCCCCGGTAAACCACTCAGCCCTCTGTCCTCGACCAAGAGCTCTGCTTCTGGCTCCCTGGTTTCTGTTTGCCTGTTCCCCCACGACTGTGTGGAGAGGCTGTCACTGAGCTCTCTGTAGTAAGTTTACCTGTTCTACCGCCTGTGGTTTCCTGTGAATTGCCTCACTGTATGGCTGCAGATTCAATCTTTGTGTGTGCCGCAGAATGAACTTGGTTGTTCTGCTTTTTGCCAGAGCCACCCCGCCTACAGCCAGTTCCACACAGGTTAAGTGTGCCGACTTCCCTTGTGTGTTCTCCTGGTTCCAGATTCCCTGCTAGTCTCACATTGCCTTCTGCCTGCTCTATCATGGTAAAGTTGCACACCATTGAACACCAACTTTGGCATTTATCAATTTGGATGTGAGCGTAGGGTACGATCAAATCTCACATCAGGTCTCAGCTCATGTATGCAAGTTTGAGTCAGTGTGGATTTGTGGTGCAGCTCAGCAAGATCTGAAAATAATTATTAAACAAACCTCAAACTTGTCATCTAAGCATAAGCAGCCACATATTCAGTATATTAAAAAAGGATTCCCAAAACGAATAAAACAAAATGAAATAAAATAGCCATGAATGATTACATATTCATCAGTTGCAAAAATTACCACTCTATTAACTTACAGGTAATTTGTGATGCCAGGCTATCAGTAAACGTGGTAGCCAAGTGGCCGGGGGCGGGGATGCACGACTCATTTGTATTCCATAACAGTAGCGTTGCCTCACGGCTACGGCACGGCGCACTGCAGGGCCGGTGTCTTCTCAATAAGTAGGCTATTAAATGACAACATTTTGGTATGGTTCTTATTCTATGTGACAAAGGTTATCCCCTCAATATCTTATAACCCCGCTGGCAAACCCTGCCACAGAGCAGGTGTGCAGGTTTAACAGTGCGCACACACGCACACGGGTCACGGTCGAGCGCTGCTTCAGGTTGCTCAAGCGCAGGTGGCTCTGTCTTGGACCAGCGGGAGGAACGCTGCTGTATACCCCAGAAAAGGTGTGCGACATCATTTTGGCCTGTGCAGTTTTGCACAATGTTGCTTTAGACAATGGAGTGCAGTTTGATGTGCCGGCGCAGCCAGATGAACCAATGCCCAGGGAACCATGGCCAGCACAGCCTCTACTGGGGGCTATACGGAGGAGACAGGACCTCATTCATTCACTCATTCTAAAATGTAAAGTATACTTTAAAGTTGTGTAAGTGCTCTACAGTAGGCCTATTTAATGAGTAATGTAATGCAAGTATAGCCTATAAGAGTATAGGGATATTCAATACAGACAATGGACAACGTTTAGTCATTTAAACATTTTATTCAGGTTTTTTTTTATTTTTTTTTATTTTTTTTAGATTCTAGTTAATTTATTTTAGCGTGTTATTAATTGTCTCGAGTGTGCTAACTGAAGCCAATAAATGGCATATTTCTGTCTGCCTTTCCAGGACCTCTGCCGTGATGATTGGCCAAGCACGGGAAGCGGAGGGCACGCACTCTCCTGCCTGGCTCGGTGGGACCGCTCTGGGGAGAGGACCTGGACGCCATGCTTTTGTACTGTCAGGTTAAATTAACTAATGCAAGCAAAAGGAGGGCTGTTAGTTACCGTTCTGCTCTGGCTCCGATGCAAGTGCGTCTGTGTCTCCACCACCACCACTTATGCCAGAGATAGATTCTGACCCGATTAGTGAGGAGATTCTCTCCTCGGTCCCCTTCATGGTCAGGCTGGGGTCTGGTTGGCCTCCTCCAGTCTGCGTGTTGCTGCGCCTAAGGGCTTTTTGTTGCCAGCTTTAAGTCTGACCACTTTTTCTTGACCTAAACCTAAAGAATTGTGACTTGATCAACTACCAGGCATTGGCTATAAAGCTATGGATGAATAAAAGATTTTTTTTTTTTATTATCATCATTAGATTATAGGCCACTTATTGCGAATTTTATTCAAACCTCAGTCGGAGTCTGTTTGTCAACGGTGACGCTGCTGACTGCCGACTCCTCTCCATGTTGCAACCTCACAGGGCGAGGCCTCTGTACCATGAATATTTAAGGGCGTGACATGCTAATGACGATCGATTTCAGCCGCCACATTTATCAAGGCCTGATCATTCGTACGCTGGGACTGGTCAGATACGAACGTTTCATAAATCACACGTGTCCTATCGTAAGATGAATCCTGCGCTCAGATCTGCACCTGTTTCTATGCTCGTTTGATAAATGAGGGCCTCTCTGTTTATTAAACCGATGCATTTAAGTTCATTACAAACCATCCTGCCTGTCATTGTTGCTGCTTTTGAGTCCCACACCCACCTGTCACAGACTAAGCAATTTGTATCTACATAACAAGCATGTTCTCATCAGTGGAGTCCGCCATGTTGTCCTACAGTAGCCTGTATGGTCTGCACAACCTGTACAGACAGTACCACCTCCACATGAAAGTATGTGTCCTTGAAGCCCATCTGGACCAGTTCAGAATACTGGTGGGCAATGCATCGATTTAGGGTACAGAGATCCACTTCAGTAAATTTACTTAGTTACATTTAACCACTGACAATAGTCCAGGAGTATGTATTTAAAGTGCAATTGCGGTATTTTTTTTTTTTTTTGCTGTATCAGCACTCAGTGAATAACCTCCTAAACCATCATAGGGCTTAGGAGGTTATTCACTGAGTGCTGATCCTTTCCCTAGAGCACAAACTTCTTGAGTTTATTTGAATTCAGAACTAGCCCAGCTAGTGACTGCTGTGAATAGGAAAGCTGACAACAAGGTAAAGACCATGTGACTGCTTGGAAAGACAGCTGACAGGAGGGAAAAGACCCCAAAGATGCTAGCATGGGCTGGCAACCCATGGTAGCATTGGTGAGGCCTAGCAGCCTTACTACAACCAAATTAGCTACAGCCAACATAGAGAAAATACCCCAAGAGTCAGCCAGAGCTGGGGTGGAAAATGACTCACCGGTGGATTACATGGTAACAGACATTGGAACGGACATGACTATGCATTGGATCTGTGACTCAGTGAAGGATAAGGACCCAGACCTATCCACCAGGGCTAGAATTAGCAGCACTCAGGGCAAGGCGAGCGCATCTGTAGAGGACAAAAGTAGCACAGTTGAGAACAAGATGCTTCAGGTTTGTCCTTGCGGCTGGCAGAAAGTAACATCAGTAAAAGGCCTCAGAACTCATCAGGGAAAGAAGAAGTGTGTGGCAAAGAAAGGGCATTGTAGCCGCATTGATCAGTATTTCTTAAGAAGTCAGTCGAGTCAGTCAGATGAAGTCCAGCAGCAGGTAGAAAACCAGAGTTCACAGAATATCAGTAACAATGTCACTGAGGAGGAGGAGGAGGAGGAGGAGGAGGAGGAGGAGGAGGGGGTAGTAAGAGGGGTTGCAGGTGACACTGAGGTCAATATGCCAGTCAGAGAGAGAACAATGGAGCAAAAGGATACAGTTAGATGGCCTAGGGCAAATGACAGTAAAGAATGGGAGACAGTTAATAGATATTTGGCAGTAATCTTAAGCAGGCTTAGAGGAAATGCGATAGAAAAGTTAGAAAAGATGGGAGATATAATTTACTCATATGGTGCAGAGAGGTTTGGGGTGCATGACAGAAAGAGGGGTGAGAGGGTACAGTCAGGTAAGTCTAGGTGGCAAGAGAAATAGAGAAGTTAGTTAAGGAAAGGAGACAGTTAAGAAAGCAGTGGAAAAAGTCTACAGAAGAAGAAAGGGAGGGAATTAATGTGCTGCAAGAGGAGTTGAGAAGCAGGCTTGCAGTTCTTAGAAGGGCAGAGCATCTCAGGAAAAAGAGGAGGAAGAAGGAATATGTAAGGACAGCTTCTTTCAGGGACCCTTTTAAGTTTGTTAAAGGATTGTTTAGCCAGGAAAAGGGAGGGCAGCTTAAAGCAGCAAGGCTAGAGGTCGAAGAATATTTGAGAAATACATATTCAGATTTAGAGAAGAATAGGATAGTAGGTTTTCCACCGGATATCCCTCCATTAG